GGGGGGGGGGGGGGGGCACATGACAGCAGAGCCACCCAGACACCGGGGTCAGGATTGCCCCATGGATGAGTAGTGACCCCAGCAAGGATGACAGACCCTAGCGAGGACAGCCCCTTGTCCTGCCTGTCCTGGCCAGAGACCCACCACACCTGACTGAAGACTTGTGAAAAGACCCTTCCATGGGGTACCCATCTTCAGACTTGAAGCTAATATTGCACTGCATTATGATGACAGACTTTTAAATTTGCTCTGAGACTTTTAAGAAAGGCAAATACTTTTCTGATTTTCAGATCAAGCAAGCTTTTCCTGCCGCTTTGGGGACCAGAGTCACCTACAATGAAGAAATCTGTATTAAATGCTCATCTCCTCCTGTTAGATCTCCTCTACCCATGCCTCCAAAGGCAGCCTGAGCTGGACCGTGACCACCTGGGGGCGGGGGAAATGATTCTGCTCTGGCTGGGCTGGGCCAGGTGAGTATTTCTGGCTGATGCATCACCTGCTGGTGCCCAGAGACACACACAGCACAGCAGGCAGAGGACCCCAAGTGACAGCAGAGAAACCTCACCCACCTGCATGCAGCGAGTGACAAAAACAAAATGAACATTCAGAGTTTATCCTTTGGTTTATTCGGTGGTACCACACTCTTTGCTCACACAGGGCCCCTCACACAGAATCACAGAATAGTTTGGGTTGGAAGGAACCTTTAAAGCCCATAAAGTCTGCCACAAACAGGGACATCTTCAACTAGATCCAGTTTCTCAGAGCTTCATCCAACCTGACCTGGAACGTTTCCAGGGATGGAGCATCCACCACCTCTCTGGGCAACCTGGGCTAGTGTTGCCACCACCTTAATGCCACCCTCATGCTGGCATGAGTCGCACAAGCAGGGAATGTTTAAGGTTACCTACAAATCTCTCCCATCAGGACAAAAGCTGCACCCTCACAAGGTCACTGCCGTGCAATGACAGCAACCGTGGTGCAGCTCACGGCGTTCTGCCCTTCCCAAAAACACCTTGAGGTTTTCCAGCCATTTCCTTCCATCCACCCAAGTCCCCTGCAACTGCAACACGGGCAAGACACTGCCTGCGTGGAGTTAAGAAGCAGCTATTTGCTCATGGGAAAAGCACAGGCACGTCAGGAGATAGATAGAGCAGGGATTGCATGTCTTGTGGAGGTAGCTCAGCGCTTACTGTGCATGCCAGATAGTGCAGAACCGACAGATGGTTCAACAGATGCTCTGGGATAGAAGTGGCTTAGTAGGTGAACCATAAAAAAAGCATGAAGTACATAGAAAGAATCAACACCACACCATTCATAATAAAAATGTCCCTTTTTTCACCCTGCTCAAAATCTCACCAAGCACCACAGTTTACACCTTATTGCCAAGCTCCAGTGCTGCCAGCAGGATCTGTAGCATCTTAAAAGCTGCAAACGCCTAAGATCAGCTGCGCGGGGCGGGCATGGGAAATACATCCCTCACTGCCTCATTAGATGACAACTGACTGAGCAGAGAGGTCATTTCTCCCTCCAAGATACGACATGTCACGTTCCTCGACCTCTTCAGCTACTACAAAATCTGCACTGGTCCTAAAATCCCAGGCCAGTTCCCTGAACTCACAGCTGCCAGCACCATCGGCTGGGGCAGCAGTACTGCCACCCACCCACAGCTTGTGCCAGGTCACACAGCCCCACGTTCATTAAGCAAATAGGCATCACCACCGCTGAAAGTCAAACCAGGAGCCTCAGAGGGAACTGTCAAGCTCCAGGTTTATTTTATTTACATGTGCTCAGCCATGACAGCTTCTGCAGCCTGCAAGTCTTTCCTCTTGCTATTTTTTATTTAGCTGTGAAGCTAATCTTCTGCCACAGTGTGAATGGTTGTGTTAACTCCGATGGGAAAAGAGAGAGGAATGGGAACTGGTGCCCATTAAATAGGGCACTGACGCCAAAACACATTGATGAAGGTTCCTGGCTAACTGGGCTATATGGCCATGTACCAAGCATGAATATATAGTTATCAGCAATGAAACGTAATTAAAGTGCACAGATAGTCACAGATCTTGCAAGTTCCTACATTTGTTCCCCCAGGCTGCATGTAACAAGGACTGTTCTCCCCTAGGAACAAGGGGCTTGGCTGCGACACCAAGGCTGAGCCAGCCCTGGGCAGAACATCGCTGTTTTCCATGCCCAGGGGGGACACGCTGTGACCCAGGGGGACCACATCCTTGCCCAGCCCCATGGCCAAGGCCACCAGTGACTTGGCTTGTGCTGCTCGGGGCAGTGAACCCTAAAGGTTGCCAATTGTTTCTTGTGTCTGACCATGCACTGGATGGCACCCCTGGTTTTAGCACTGTGAGAAGCTCGTTCTATCCAGACAGCCCAGAGGACAGGGACAAGGATAGAGATGACACTCTCCTCTCTCTAGAGCTTGTCACAGCAGGGGTAGGGATGTACAGGTTTCATTTGACAGAGACATGTCTTAAACGCAAACACAAATTCACTTTTTCTGAATGAACATGGAAAAGGAAATAAAGAAGCAAACAACATTAAAGCCACCGCTGGGACATAAAGGAAACTCCAACTTCCTTTCAAGAGATACAAATTCATTTAATTGAAGTGTAACTATATAGAGCTCTGGGTTATCACAAATGAAGTATTTTATATTTAAGCTGCCCCACCTGAATATTGAAGAAAAAATTGTTTTTCATTTCCTACCACCATCACCTGTCTGAGCCTGTAAGCCAGGAGCAGATCAATCACATTAAAACCTTTAATTCAAGATTCCACTAACCTTCCATGGGGGTATTATTGTCTGGCCGGTTGGCGAAGACGACATCCACGTACTCCAGCTGCAGCTTCTGGAGAGAAGCCTTTAGCCCTGGGAACAGCAAAGCAGAGACAAGAACCCACATGGTCAGGGCAAGGCAGGACAGAGCCAACAGGTATAAGCCATGCTAGGAAAAACAGAGCTCGTTATATTTATGTGGATACCTACTATATATATACACAACCATATAGCATATGGGAAGGATACTGCATAAACTTGCCCCACATCTGTGCAGCTGTATTAAGAAAACACCAGTTTGTCACACGCAGAGTTCCCCTTCTCCTTCCACAAGAACTTTTTTATTTTTGAATTAGGCTGAGATTTGGATTGGAACAGCCACCGGTTATCAAGCATGTCTGTGGCCAGCCCGTCAGGAGACAGCTGCCAGGGACCAGCTTCAGCCCTCCACTTCTCTTCAGAGTTAATTTAATCAAAGCCACATCATAGCGCCTTTCTGTGCAAGCCCAGGGCTCCTGTCCCACCTGGGAGAAGACCTCCCAGCAATGCCAGCCCGGAGGGGAGGATGGTGGTACTTGGCTGGATAAGTTATAATGAGCAGATACAGCACCATGAAGGGCTTTACCCTCTCTGCAGGGTAAGCAAGCTGTGCCCACCAACGCGTCGCAGAGGGCAGAAAGAGTTCTGCAGAGCAAGACAAGGCACCATTTCACAGCTACAGTCCAGGACTGCCCAGGCTTCAACAGCTTTCCCATGAGGGTCTGGTGGGAAATGGCATCAAAAGCCTACATACATACATACATATATATATATATATATAAGTGCGTGAGAGAGAGAACAGTATTTCTAACACTTATTTTCTATGAATCTTCCCAGGAACAAAATGTTTTTATGAATGTTCATGAAGAATGAGCCAAAATAGAGTAGTCTGAAAATGTTTGCTGGATTTTGGGATAAAAAAAAAAAAGGCCCATTTTTGCCAAATGTATTTATAGAAAATAGCTAACATTGACCTTAACGTTATTCGCTATGTTTTCTTTGAAGTTATTTCAACTGCTGCCGGTATTTTTCTATCATTTCATGAAGCAGCTCCACAAGAAATGGAAAATGGATGAGTTTGGACCTCCTGTAACATGGCTGCAACTTCCCCAAGCGCCTCTGCCACCAGCGGTGAGGACACCACCTGATGGGTTCAATGAATAGAAGTTCAAGAACATAGCTAATAAACTTTCTCCAGCATTACCTTAACATGAAAGTCACATCCCAATGTAGCTGAACTCTGCAAGTACTAAATAATGAAAACTTTCCAGGACATACAAGCTGGTTACTATGAGGCAACACCGACCGCGCTCCAGTGATGCTCCTTATCTCTCCTTCGAGATGTAGGATGCTGGAGTCTGCACCCCAGGGAGGAAGCTGCTGCTCACCCAGTCTCACCTCACCTCACCCGCTTGGGACAGCATTAGCCAGGGTATAGTGTGGGTGGCAGCGACATCCCAGGTGAGGGGTGGATAATATAAATAGAGTAATAATATTTTCCATATAATCTATGTTTTAATGGATACAGAACAAATCCTGGTTGTTGAAGGGTTGTGACGAATGGGCCGTTGCAGATTCTGGTGATAAAACATGCAAATGGTGAAATGCAAGTTAAAGCTGCCGTTTCTGGCGGGCAGACGCGATTCGTTGCAGAGGGATGCTACCTTCTGATAAGCAGAGATCAAAGCCTACCTCCGCCTGTTCTGCAGGGAGAACTGTGAACAGGCTGTCTCCCCCCCCCCCCCCGCCGTGCCATCAAACTACTGACACCAGGGCACACGAGTAATATAGACGAGCCTGGATTTTTCTCTTCTAATTTGTCTTGGCAGCAAACGTTAGCTTAACCAACCACCACTGTAAACAATTAGGGTCTATCTCATAAATCAAAGAGGAGGCTAATTACCCCAGCATACACAGTGCAATAAGGAGAACCACTTTTCACTGCTGCAGCCGTCTTGGTGTGCTGGGTTATGAAAGGTGCTGCTCCCCAGGACAATCTGGGCTGGCATCAGCCTTGCCCAGTGAGGAGCAGCTGCTCCCCGGGGATCAGCACAGCCTCCTGCCCTGGGTTCCTCTGAGGATCCTGTCACAGAGCGTATCATTCCCTAGGAACGCAAAGAACACATTTTGCACGTCCCTCGGTGGCAGCAGACACAAGTGGGTCAAACAGCAACAAGATGCAGGCGGTGCAAAGCCCTCTCTGCAGAGACCTGAAGCACAGGTATCAAGCCTGATGCTCCCCCTCTGCCCCAAACATCTTCCCACCCCCCTGAGAGGCCAGGACACCCCCAGTAACTCTCTTCCACGGCTTTATGCAGCTTTTCTCCATACCTATGCTATTTTTATTCAGGATTTATGTCAACGACAGACTCAAGCCCCCATGCTACTGGCTGCTTTTCTGGGTCTGAGACCTGCTCAGGATCCGCTGTCGGTCCCAGGGTCCTCCTGGGGGGGTTCAGGGTCTGCTCCAGCCCTCATCAGGAACCAGCCCAGGCTGGGACAAGGTTGTGGCTGATACTGCTAATCCTTAATATGACAAAAATTTATCTTTTTACCAGTGCTGCTCTATTTGTGTCCTGCGTGTAAAATTCTCTGCAAATTATAATAATGCCCACAGTCACTATGTCTGCATGCCTGATCTGACACCCAACAGCTCTCTGGACAGAGACGGATCGAGTGAAACATAGCTGTCTGTATAGAAAAATGTATGTGTTCTCACTCCCTCTCCAACAGTAATGTATCTGAGAGAACAAAAAAAGCAAGCGGAAGGAAGATTAGAGCATGCGTTAGATGCAGCAAAGACCTGGGTGAATAAATCCTGATGGATGAGTAAGGTAGTGCGCGGCATCGCTCAGCGGGATGCAGGACTGGATGCGAGGAGCCAGGTAAGGGAACATTCACACAGACAGAGCACCCGAGAAGAAGCAGCACTGAGAGCAAACCACAGCCCTTCCCAGCTGGTGGCTGGGACCTGGCATCCCTCCAGGGGTTATTTCTGCCAGCTGACATCATCCCCCACATCCTCATCCCTTCCTGCTCCGCCAAGGAGCTCACGCAGCCACGGCCACGTCTGCCCACCATGTGCTGCTGCCCAGAAAGAGCCAGGGGGTGTATATGTACCCCCTCTGTGCATCATCAGAGCATCTCAAGACCAGCCAAGCCCTCCTGCCACAGGGACTGCAGCAGGTCCCACCATGGCAGCTGGGATCAGAGCCATTCTTGAAAACAATGGTGAAAAGCTGCTGGGAACCTGCATGAGGCAGCAGGTGATGAAACCCCAGTGTGGGAAACCTCGACTGCTGCTGAAAAGTGAGAAACCTGCGAGCGACTCGCACAGAGCCAGGCAAGGACAACGATCCTGTTTATTATAGCAAAAATCCCAAGAGGTTATTGCTGCATAGGGGTGTAGAGAAGGCTTTTTGTGTGCAGTGTGCTTGCTTACACTGTTTCTTGAGAAAAGACAGAATAATCCTTCAGTGTGTTTTGGGCACAGCCAGACCACCCTGCCCTGGAACACATACCTTCAATGATGTGTTTCCTTGAAAGCCCTCTCTCTGTTTCAGCTCTGCAAAGGAAAAACAAGTACAAGGCTATTAGAGGTCTGAAGTGCTAACAATCAGGAAAAGTTAATTCTGTATTCTGGTTTAAACATCCCAAAAATGAAGTTATAACTCATACAACAGGGCAACCCTGCGGCTCTCTCAGGTTCCCAGCCTCAAAGACAACCAGCATCTGGGATGCGTAAGGCTACTGTTAATGTGTAACAGCCTTGCTATGGATATTGCCTCACCCTAAAGCTACGAGCTGACATTTCTAATCAGAAGGGTAAGGATGGTGGCAGGGCAGCCGGGGCCAGGCAGCACAGTGATGTGGCTGTGCCCCAGCCCACCACACACCACTGAGGCTCCACTGGCATCATCTGCCATTTCAAAGGAAGGCAGCATCCAACCTGTCCTCCCAGTGCAAAGCTGGCAGACTGCAAAGCCAACAAAGTGCTCCTCCCAGGGCAGGCACAAAGGTACAGTACAGCCAAGGTCACCCCCAAAATCATTAAACACCTTGTCTACTGGGACCAGACCTCCTCCAGGCAGGTCACCTTACCAAGACAAGGCAACAAGAAACACAACCCACACAACCGTGACCCATCGTTTACATATAAACTAGATTCAGAGGCAACACATGGCTTCGTAATTTTTCTGACTGTTTAATTTTGCCCGTATCTCCAACACACCAGGCAGATCCTGAGCCTGCTGCAAAGCAACAGCACAATGAAGTGGGACAGACACTATAGACCTGCCTTACCAACATAGTGACAGTGTCTTAAATACATCCCAGCTCTCACAGAGAAGCAGAGGGTAGTGTTGCACCTCAGCTTCAATACACTGTGACTTAAATGACTTCAGTGAAATGGGAGAAAAAAAAATAATTACAATCATTTGCTCAACAACTCCAATGAAAGTCTCGCAGAGACTATTTTGCAGCTGCATTCATGGTTTACTTGGGTTTCTCCTCAGACATTCCAATAGATTCGAAAAATCCACATTGACATTTTGTTCTGGGGACAAAAAACCAACCCATGATGGAAAGGAGTTGATGAAAGTTGCAGGGGTTGAAAAGCAGGACTGGTTACACCTCCCATGGCCACAGCCCTGCTCGGGGCAGGAGCACAGCCGGCACAGCAACCCAGCCACTGCTGGGGACTGCCACCTCTGCCGGGCTCCAGCTCCTTTAAAGAGTTGGCAAAATGAGAAAGGAAACAACTGGAAGAACTGCCTCCCCTCTGAAAAGCTATAGATCTCCACCTGGTTGTAGGGCTGTAAAAGGGAAAAGCACACAGCAGCACACACACACCATGACAAGCAACTGTGAGACTTACTTTCCACCCCAGTACAGTTTTGTTGTTATGACCAGGCTGGACCTCCTGCAAACAGAATAGAGAAATCACTACTGTTAAAAAAAAAATTGATAATATAAGTAACCAAGCAGGATGGCGCCCATCGAAAAGCAGCTGTACTCTGGCTGCCCGCAGCAGCGGCCGTGCCTGGTTTCACTGGGCACAGAGTAAGCATTTGTACATCACTCTAATCTTTTTTACAACAGGTCTAGAGGCCACTTCTCCTCCCACGCTCAGGTCTGCTGTGGGAAGAGAGTGATCGTAGGCTGGTGTCTGGAAACAGAAGCTAATTCAAGTGAAGTCACCAAAAAAGAGACACATTTTTCATTACGGAGTAAGTAAGAAATCTCCAGAGCCCTTAACCCAGGCTCTGGTGCTATTCCCTCCTGGTATCCAAGTCCAGTGCTTCTCATTACCACGCAGTATTCCCAGAGTTATTAAAGCCCCAAGAGTGATACAGTCACTGAATTAATCTATAAATTCCAACATGATATTAAATTAAAAATTTATCATTCACAAACTACCTTGCTGCATAACTGTATGTGTACAACACACAATTTCTCCAGCTTTTGCTAGACTCAATTTTTTTCTTCTGCAGTACCCAGAATATTTTGTACAGAATTATCATCCCCCTAACACAGGGAATACTGATTTTGGTGAGAGTGCTGCTAGGACCCACTCTTCACTTGAAGGCTGGATATTACACACACAGGAGGTCTTTAAAGATTATGTAAATGCTCTTAAAACTACACAACATATGCTAATGTGCATCATTTAAATTAGGTATCATCTCCTACCAGGCTACCCAAGATGAAGGCCTGTCACAGCTTTGCATTCTTAATACACAGTTTTATGTACACGGATAAGGATGCCGACACAGAAATTATCTGTCTCGATACACTGTGCATGGAAAAGATGATGGATATGCTCAGAAGTTGTGTTAACTGTGCTGTGCACAGAGACGATGGTCATGTACAAGGGACAAGGCAGCACCACAGGCTGATGATCGCAGCTGGTGTGCACTCCCTAAAGCCAGGAGAGCATTTTTATCTGGCATTTGAAAGGTCTGGCTGCTGCAGGAGCCCTGGCTGGCTGCTCCGGGCACAGCCCTCACACCTACAAGCTCCCGCTCCTCGGCCAGCATCACCTAACAAGCATCATTGTTAAAAAACAGAAGGTTTCTCATTTGGCCGGGGCTCTTGCTCAGCGGGGGTGGCAGGGACTGGTACATACCTCCAGCCCTTCTTCTTCAGGATGTTTCCCAGGATGACCTCAGCTCTGCATGAGAGAGAGAGAAAGAGCCCTGTGTGAGGGGAGGCAGGAGGATGCTCTGCACCAGGGACACCACCACAGCTGCCATCTCCCCCAGCTTCCCTGGATGGGGCCACCCTGACACCAGCCTGCAGCCCCGCTCTCAGCTGTGCAGCTCTCCCTTCCCCTCCTGAGGTGACAGTGACCCAGAGCTGGCTGGGACGGGTCCCCTCCATCGCACCCTACATCTGCTTAAACCTGCTCTGGGGAAGGCAGAGCCACTTCATCCTCACACCCAGGGACGTGATGTCCCAGGCCGCCTTTTACACTACATGCAAAGCCATATAAATCAGCCAAAGTCAAATATATTATGGATGGATATTTTTTTCCCCCCAATCCCGCAGCAACACTAAGAGCATTAGCTCTGCTGCAGCCCGAGCGGCTCCGCACACCGGGAGCTGTCACTGGCACAGGCCATTCATCACCATTAAGATCCACGCTGACTTTTCATTTATTCAGGACATTTTCCTCCTTATGCCAACAGCAAGTAGTGCGAGTGATACATTTCAGGCTTCAGCTGGGTGCGAGGGAGTTTGGGTTTGATTTTTAAAATTTTTTTTAAGAGTCCTCCAAAAATAAAGGTTTTTCTGTGCCCCCCAGGGAGAAGGGGTTTTCCTGGGCACCAGCAGAGCCCTAGCCATCGTGAGGCAATCTGTCCCAGGGAGGAGCAGAGCCAAGTGGAGGGGTCCCAGGGAAGTGGAGTGGGACACTGGGCACTCACTTGCCGGCCGCGTACACCTCCGCCGTGTCGAAGAGGTTGACGCCGCTCTCGTAGGCGATGGTCATCAGCTGCTCAGCCACCTTGAGGAAGCAGAAATGGAGAGGTGAGGGATGGAAGACCCAGCCCAAGCAGCCAGTGGATCCTCCCACACTGTAAAAAGCCCCTTAAGGGGCTACAGTGGGGCTGGGAGGGGTGCCCATATCCCCTGCCCGGGGGTGAGACCCTTCAGCAAGGCATCCCGGGGGCTGTGCCCTGGCCCAAGCAGCACCAAAACACAGATTTACATCAACTTCCCTTTGACTCATCCTGGGAGGAATTAATCTCTTCTCATAGGAATGTCCTAGGCTTTCTAATAGGAAAGCAGCCAAGAATTTAATAGAGTTACAGAAGATACTTCACAAATCTGTGGAGTTTAATACGGAGGGGATATTTCCATGGTAAGAGTTTAAATATTTTTGGCTACCAGACAGGCTGTCCTGCAGCTCTCCAGCAGAATTCATGGGTTATTTAAACAGCTGAAGGTCATTTCTTGTGAATTCTGCATCCAGAGGAGGCTGGCGGTGCCAGGGGGGCAGGTGCCCATCCACCATCCTCAGGATGGGCATTCCCAAGGATGGGGCTGCGTTTCAGTCCTCTTTTTCCACGCAAGAACACTTGGCACTCACTTAACTCTAAGCAAGGAGGGCGGAAGAGCCAGGGAGAAAATTTATGACCAAAACAAGTGGTCTCACTCCAGCCTGCCACGCCAAGAAACAGGAATGAACTCAGTTCTCCACCATCGGCAGAAGCAACACCACCAAAGATCAAAAGAATTTTAAAAAGTTAAAAAAAACCAAACAAACGAACAAAAAACACCTTTTGAGTTCAGACTGCTAGGCTGCTTTCCTTTCACAAAAGTTACTTTGGGGTTTCTGTCATGTACTAGAGGGAGGGCTGCCAGGAGGTCACTCTCTTTTTGATGGTTAGCATCCGCAGTGTACCTGAGATGGAGGGAAACACACATGCTGCCCAGCACTCAGGAGGATTATTAACTGAGATTAAGAGCCATCTGGTATGGGCAAGAGCACGCAGGAAACGCAAGCTCATTTTCATTTGTTTCATCTCATTATGTAAAAAATAAATCATCCGGCAGCTCCTTATAAGCCGAGCCCCTGCGTGTATTTATGCCTGTTGCTGATTAGATACATGATGCAAAAACAGTTTCCAATTTCTGCTCCAGGAACAGTACCAGTGCCAACGGTAAGGAGGAAACATTGCTCCAAACGGCATGGAAAAGAAGATCACTTTAAGGGATAGATGGGTTTTTTTATTAAAGTTGATCTCTGGAAATGTCAGATTCATTAAGGTTTTTTTGTAGCATAAACGCAAGCCTTGGCGTTGCTTTGCATAGTAACTCTCTGCCATTTCCTCGTACAGAAACAGGCTCCTCTGATTTTGGTAGCCATGGTTTCATTTAAAAATATCTCATATTGGGTTTTACTTCACGCATTATACTTACACCAAGCATTACTTACCTCGTCTGAGATTTGACCTCCAAAAGTGACCCACGTCCCTAGAAAGAACAAAATAATCTGTAAACATGGGAGGTTTTTGCCAACAAAAATTCACTCCACCAAAATTCAGGCTCCTTGGGATTAAGAAGGTTTAAAATGGGGTTAACTGGCTCAGACGCTGGTGCATCCCCAAGTGAGCAGGACCAGGACTGGGGCAGGCACTCGAGCCCCCTCTCCCTGGGTGGGGGGAGGGTGGGATGGGGCATGGGGACCCAAAGCTGGCCCATGAACTCATCAGAGAAGCCCCATCAAGATCCTGTGCTGCCCAAATAAAGAGTTTTATTGAAATCTGAAGCTATTTGCTAAATGCAGTTCATTTTCCAAAGCTCCAATTTGACAAATTGGAAAAAATTTATGATGATGCTGAAACATGTCATTTGGGGAATGAAGCTCTTTCTAAGCTTATGCTTCAGCATTCAGGATCCTACTAGTCAAAATTAGAAAAAAAAAAAAAAAACACAAACCAACATATTTCTACTGAAACAAAGTATTTAAAACCCATCCAAAGTGCCTTTTCCCCAGGAACTTCTCCATCAAGCCCATGTCCGACGAGCAGCACTTTTGCCAGCTGGCCCAAAGAGTAGCTGCACTTTAGACTCAGCAGCAGACTCTGGTCTATTATTAGTAAAAACTCGGGGCACTGTTTCTTTATGACTACTGCTTCAAAAAAAAAATAAAAAAATTAAGAAAGTAAGAATATTCTGTGGTGGAAACAGTGTGTGGATTTCACCGGATATTCCTAAACTATAGGAATATTACATCCTATATATATTTTCTATATGGAATACATATTTCCTAAGCCACTGGAAGGGAGAGACAGCAGCGAGCTGGGGAAGCGCCAGGTCACATATGGGACACCGATGGGACAGCATGTCCTCACCCTGGCAGACATTGCTCCTGCCCTACTTATCCGACCTTACAAAGCACCCCGTGGAAAGCGATGCTGAGACACAGAGGAGAAGGATGTGACATTACACGTGCCTTTTGCCAGCCTGTCATGACAGCATTTGGATTTACAGCACGACTTTTGCCCGCGCTTTTCAAGACCTACACACCAGCTACGTGGAAAATTACGTGTTACCCGTTTAATGGATGGGTCAAAGCTCACGTGGCTCACAGAAAATCCTCCAGAATTTAAAATTCTGCCTTATATTGTCCCTCCATAAGGAGGGCAGAGGGGTTCAGCCCCTGAGCTGGAAAATTGACTGCGTTTTGGGCGAGACAGAGGAGAGATCACCATGCCAGGGAGGGGTTGGGCTCCGATGCTGTTAAGGGGTAAAAAATTAAGTGCTCCCTGCCTGCCTGCTTACACTTGCAAAGGGCCTGGTGCAATAGATACATAAACGCTCCCACGTCTTCATTAAAAATGTATGGTTAGCTCATTGCTCAGAGCAAGCGTGGAAGATGAACCTTGAGCAGGAGTCAGAAAGCGCGGAGCGTGCCTGCTGCTAACGCTCCAGCTGCTTTGATCAGCCCCTGGTTAAAAACAAAGCAAGAAGAGTCGGCTCCATTAGGAGAATCTTGCTCTCTTTCCCTCAAAAAAAAAAAAAAGTCAATCTGAATTTTTTTTTTTAAACATCAGGTGCCTTTGAGTACAAATAAAGTTATTTTTAAAAATGCATATTTGCCCTGCATTTAAACTGAAACTCTTGATTTCCTGTAGAATAGGCTGAGCCCTGCAAAAAGCCAAGTTTTCGCAGATCAGAAGTGTGTAACACAGCTAATGCTACTGAAATAAAAATGAGCAAACAGAAACACACATTTTTAACTAATTTTGCATTTACTTCTGCTCTCTATGATGGCAATAACTGGGTGACAGCAGCACCCTCTGAACCCAGAGTCACCCCAGTGAGCAGCCACCCCTTACTGCCCCTGCTACACCTTGCTACCTCGAGACCTCAAGAATGGGACTTCCTCCTATCATTAAAATGCTCTAGTCCTGCACAATACAGATAAAAATGAAAACAGGTTTCAGTTTATCATTAAGCTTCTTTATGCAGACAAAAAAAATCCGAATGAAACCCAATTTCCATGCTAAAGCTTCACAAGTGTTATTTTTATAGGAATACATTAAAATGCATTTCTACTGAAAAACGTGTTGAGACTGTTTATCCCAAAGTGATTTTTTGGCTTAAATATGCATACAGGTCCCCACCGCAGGTGAGAAGAAAAGGAATTATTTCTGCACCCTGTGGATTACACATCCTCCCTCAAATTCGGGTGACTCCGACCCTACACAACAGTTCATGTAAGAGCAACAAGTGCTTTATCTCTTTAAATATAAGTAGTAAATATATGGAATATTAGGTATATCTGCCTGTCTATCCCAGCAGTGATGGACCCGAGGGGCTTGGGACCCCTGAACAGCAAGCATCATTGGGACCACACAGGTGGGGAATACTTTGGATTTTTTTTTCCTTGATAATTGCAAAAAACAGCCAGGGAGGAGAGTTTTTTTTGCTTGGCAAGGTGATCTCGAATGTGCCAGATGGGGTTGGGACAGTGAGATGCAGTGTTAGGGTCCCAGATGGGGCCAGGCACTGAGAAAGCAGCAAGTCCCCAGGCAGTCGGTGTGGGGGGCACCCACACCCAAAGCAGCCAGGCAGCTGCAGGGGCTGCAGTACAGCACACCACCAGTGCCTAGCTCTGATTAAAAAATAAAAATAAAGAAAAAATCACTCCAGAAAGCACAAGGCACACTTGGCATTTCAAAAAAAACGACTGAGGATGATTCACAACTTCAGCCAAGGAGAGTATTTTGGAAGAAAAATAAACTAGAGAAAGTTGGCTGGTTTTTTTAATCATTACTTTTCCCCTTCCCAAGTCATCATCATTCTCTTGTCTACGCCAATTCACTGTTTATAAACGTGCCCTCCCACCCCCGGCTCAGGCTGGTGGTGGCAGGTAGACCTCCCACTCCTGCCCTTCGCCCATCACGTCTCGCACTGGAAAGCGATTTCCCAGCTGGATATCCTCACCTTCAACAGAGGCATTTCTGTATTAAAACTAGCTTTGGCTCCATTTCCATTGCATGGCAGAGCCTAGCAAGGTGTGATTACTGCTGGGTTATTTGCTGATGCAGAATTCACAACTCGATAATGTCATTGCCAGCAGATGTGTCACCTCTGCAGGAAAAAAAAATTTAAAAAAAAAGGGTTCCTGGATGAAAGCCAAAGCTTCGCCTCCTGCCAGTACAATTTTATCCCTGGCTTGCTGCTGGCGAGGATGGTGCCACATGGAGATTTGGCACGTGGGTCTGGTCTGGCGCTCAAGCAACCAGCAAATGCTCAGCTCTGCGTGCTGCAAGTACCCGGGCACAAATGGGACCCTTTCACCACTGTTCTGGGCCAGCTGACCTTCAGGTTGGGTTAATCTTACATGCCAGGTTTGCAAAAGCTTTTCCCCAGAGCATAGCACCAGGGGGTAATGGCAGAAGCTGAGCCCTTTCTGCTCAGAAAACATCTATTTTTGTACCCGATTGCGAGGGTGGGGTGTCCCATCGGTGGCTGGAGGAACCGCTCATTTGGGAAGGTTTCTCCTTGTGCTTTTGTACATTGAATTGTACTTGGGGGATTTGGGATGGCTGGTTTCACTCTGCTGCTCGTTTCCTTGGAATCGTGGCTAATGACCTTGTTGGAGGCTGCCTCAACGTTTTCTAAAAATCAACAGGCAGCCTGTACAGGCAGAATCTGCTCTGAATTAACTACAAGAAAAATGTGACCTTATTTTTCTCCTGCGTCGCAATCGCATTTCAGAGCCAGCGTCACAGAAAGGCTGTGTGTGCCTGCCCAGGGTTAGGCTATTGAGATGCCTCATCCAAAGCCTCACCTGGCGTTAGCTCTACCCAAAAGCGGAGGTGAAAGCCAAGCCTGGAGCTGGGCTCAGCACTGGGATGCTGCAGGATCTGGGTCTGGGGGGGCTAAGCCCTGCAGAGCTGTTCCAGCTCTGGTGGGAGAAGAAGGAGATTCTGCACTCCCAGGAATGATGCCCAGCCCCTTCCCGAATCTCTCCGCTTGTGAAACACGCTGCTAACACGGCTGACCTCATCCGCTCACTCAACACTTCTCACACTGCAAGCAGCACCCAGAAAATTAATTAGTTAAAGTGTGAGCCGGGAGAAGCAGGACATAATTAAAGAGTACGCGTTGCCTTACACTGCCTACCTTTGATTCCTGTCCCGCTTCACATTTTTCTCCGCTTTTTCATACTAGAGGATGAAGCACACTCCCACCTTGCTGGGATTTTGGAAGGCTTTTAAGGAAGATCGCTGAGTCTTCAGAAACTTTAGTAAAGCTTAAATTAGATTTTTTCGTGCTGCAGAGAGTTTAGGGAAACACATTTATCTTTTAGGGAACTGGCAAAGAGAAGCTATTTAGAAAAGTCACACAAGCCAGGGCTCGAAGCAGACACCTGATGGATCTGTGGTGGGAGGGGAGGACGAGCTACACCGTGGAAAAAAAATACCTGTACATTCCAGAGAAGGTGGCAGCTGAATTTCAGGCTTTCCAGTTCTCCTCTCCCTAACTCCTGCACGCAGCCCAAGGGCTGTAGGGCTCGCTGCTTCTGGAACAGGCTGAGCTGCCTGGCTCCGAATTGATGCCCGGCAGCTTTCCCTTGCCCGGAGCAGCCACTTGCTCCCTCCTTCAGCCCCCACTCATCCCATGCAGCTGCACTCACAAAGGCTCAATATATTTAGATGCTGCTGCAGTTCCACATGCTTGAAATTAAAGAAAGGCTCTGCAAGATGTTTTTTTTTTCCTGCTGCTACTTCCTTCCCATAGCTGTTCTCCACCACAACAACATTCGCTCTTGGTGATCTCCAAGGATGATAAATAAAAATCTCTGAACCAGATAAGAATACAACTCCTTTCAATGCCTGGATCTATTTTAACCAGAAGAGCTCTTCTTGGCGGAATAGGCCTTATTTATGTGACTTGTGATACAGGGTGACTTTCACATTTCACTCTATTTTAAAAACAAATCACAAAGCGTGTTGGAAAAAATGAGCTGGGGCACCTGCCCTGTGAGCACAACCAGCACCAGTGGTGAGCTGGAAGGAGAAGCCCATCACCACAGCAGGCACCAAATGCAGGCAGAGTCCAGGTCCTTGCCCACTCCTGCCTTCACCCACTTGTCCCTGAGGCAGCAGCACAGGAGGGAGCCCAGATGACCCAACTGCTGATGCCTCCAACTCTGACCCCGGGGGGACACGGATGCCCCCCTTTAACAGGGGGCTGGAGGGGCCCTGGCAAAGCAGAGCATCCATCCCCCCCCCCGGGGGGGTCTCTGCACACCCTGAGGGGCTTTGCCCTCCTGATGCTCCAGCCTTGCACCGCAGGAAGAGGCTTGCAGTGAGAAAAACAGTTTCCTCCTTTCTACAGTGTTTGGTTTTTTTTAACATACACATATATACTGTTAAGCATTCTTCATGCAAGCGGCTCAACTGCCATCAAAGAAGTTAATCGCGTGAGTAAAGCCATCAGGAGCTGCCCAGTCCATCACACACGCTCCTCGCCAGCAGCTGAAGGCCAGCAGCACCAAGGGGAAGCCAGCAGGAACCATAGCATCCCTACAGGACCAGCACGTGTGTGCTGCAGAGCTTATGGATGCTCTTTGTGATAAAACATTGATAAGATAAAATATTGATAAGATATTCCTTAGTTTTCAAACCAATACAGAACAGAATTAACAAGGTACACACACTGGATAAGATAAATTAAAACAAAAATCTGCCCTCAGCCCAAGCAGATTGCTGTCCCCCGAGTCTGGAGCTCTGACACTTAAAGCTCTTGGGGGCATTCACAGACATCTCAGCTGTGGTGTCTGCAGGCTGTCCCTCATGGGGATCAGGCTGTCTTAGAAGGACTCTGCCCTCACACAGTTCCACTCGGGTGCTATAGGTGGAAAACATCTCTTCACGCTGCGGGCAAGTGCCTCAGCTGATGCCCAGAGCTTGTTATTAACACACATAAGGGCCACTGCCATGAGCCATCTGCAAGACTGAGCACAGGCTGGGGCTCTGAGGGAGCACAGGGTTGTTTTGTTGGTTTTTCTTTATAGTGAAATACAAGAATTGACACCATCACTTCAGGGCAGTGTGTGGCTGCAGTGAGTGCGGTGGCTGCGGAGGTTACTCACCTAGACCCAGGCACGAGACTCTCAGTCCAGATTTTCCAAGGTTTCTAGAAAGAAAATAATTAGAAAATATTATTAACCTTCAAGGGACACACAACTTAAATAACGCAGTGTGAAACCAGTAGCTGGAGAAAATGAGACCCTGCTTTTGTTTGAGTCATCCATTCTCCTCCAAAAGGGGCACATTGTCCCCCACCGGGGATGCTGGCTGCCTGGTTCATAGAAGAGTGGATGCTTTGCCACCATCCTTTGCCTCACTAGGCTGTGGGAGAAGCTCTAAGCACTCATGGGGCTGGGAATAAACCCAAATACATTCAGATGTATCTCACACTTGATGTCATTTGGATTCCCTTCATTTTCATCATCATTCAGTATTCATTGTAGTAACACTGATTGAGATATTCCCCTTATTCAGCTTCACTTTCTTTTTTTATTCACCCTCGCACTTGCCAAAACATTCCCATCCATCACAGCAGATCCCTGGTCCAGTTACCACCAGGGCTCCCAAGCTTGTGGACTCCCCTCAAACAAAACACTCCACGATTTCCTGGCCCAAGGGGAGGCAGTGGCTTAATCCCTAACCCTGGCTGCTTTTCTACATCAGCGAGATAAAGTTATCACCCTTCCCCTCACTTCCCAGAGTCAGGCTGGAGACAAGATAATTAGCCCCGAGGCCATGAAATGTGCCACACGTTAAACCTTTGCCCTAACTTAAACCTATCACTGCAGTACAAAATACCCTTTTAATTATACCCTCCTGCTTTAACCTTTATGTTACAGCTGGATCTGTGCAATTTGTTTGCCAGATCAAGGTATAATTTCAGGACCTTCTATCTACTTTCTACTGCAGAGCATCATGAACAATCACTACCCTTTTTCCTATGCCTAATGAATTATTTAAAGCCAAATAATAATTAAAAAAAAAGCCCTGCTCACCTACAGTGAAAGGAGTCAGACAAAATACTCAATGTCAGCACAGGTCCTGCCTTGCTCTTTCAGCTCCTTCTCTTTTTACAGGCTTGATTTTGTGGCCATGTCAGATATTTGCTCATATGGCACAATTTCCCACACGGGAGAGCAACCAAAGGTATCCCCAAGGGAGCCAGGGAAGACAGCCCCAGTGGTGCAGGCAGCCCACCCTCCTGCCCTAACACCACTGCTCTACCCAAAATTTAGCACTGCTGATGGGAATTTAAAATTTGGGGAGAGACAAGAACATGTCCTCCAGTAGCTGTTTGAAATGCTGCAGCTACATTGCCAGCACCACCAGCCCCTGGGCTCACAGCACGGTTGGGGCAGGCACTGACCTGATTTTTTTTTTTCATTTTCTATTTTTTTTTCCCCACTTTTTAAAAATTTTTTGGGTGGAAGCACAGCTGGACCCCTACATAACAAAACCCATCCGTGCACAGAATAGCACAAATCATGCCAATCGTCCCCTGCTCACCAGCACAAAGCACAACCCTCTGAAAGTTAAAAGGCAAATACCCAGCAGCTGCCTGCATGATCCACACAGAGCTGCAACCCTTCTGGCAGGGAAGAGGAGCCCAGGCTCAGGGGACTGGGATTTCTTCCTTACAGAATCACAGAATCTTCTAGGTTGGAAGGGACCTTAAAGATCACCTTGTCCAACCGTCAACCTAACTTTGACAAAAATAGACACCCACACAACAAACAAAAAGCAACACCATCACTAAACCATATCTCCCAGCACTACATCAACCCGTCTCTTGAACACCTCCAGGGATGGTGCCTCAACCACCTTACTTCTGGAGACAGCCCACCCACTGTATAATGCTCTTTGGAGAAGTGAAGTGCTCCTGGCTTGGGAGTCCGCAGCACGAGAAGGTCATGGACCTGTTGGAACCAGTCCAAAGGAGGCCATGAAGATGCTCAGAAGGCGTCAGAGCACCTCTGCTATGGGCACAGGCTGAGAGAATTGGGATTATTTAGCCTAGAGAAGGCTCCGGGGAGACCTTAGAGCCCCTTCCAGTCCGTAAAGGGACTACAGGAAAGATGGGGAGGGACTCCTTATCAGGGAGTGGAGCAATAGGATGAGGGTTAACGATTTTAAACTGGAAGAGGGGAGATCTAGATTAGATATTAGGAAGAAATTCTTTACTGTGACAGTGGCGAGACACAGGTTGTATCTCACCACTGGTTGCCCAGGGAAGCTGTGGGTGCCCCATCCCTGGAGGTGTTTGAGGCAAGGTTGGATGGGGCTTTGAGCAACCTGGTCTAGTGGGAGGTGTCCCTGCCCATGGAAGGGGGTTGGAACGAGATGGTCTTTAAGGTCCCTTCTAACCCAAACCATTCTGTGATTCTATGATTTCCAGTTTATGCTTATTTTGTAGAAGAGTTTTTTTAAGGCCTATTTCTCACTAAGCTATTCTTTGCCTTTCAAAGTCTGGCTCTGTCTCTGTGCAGGCACACAGGTGTGAGGGCACAGCTTGGCCATGGAGCTGTACTCCTCCCCCATCATAGATATAAAAATATATATACACACATATATACCCTTTTTATATGCATATGCATATACATACCCTTTACATATACTGCTTTATATACATATATACATGTGGTGTGAGTGAAACCCTCTGGTGTTTGCATGCATTTATTGGGCACATCACTCCCCTCAGCAGTGGGGTCTGTGTCAGTATCTTAGCCCATACAGCAAAAGGCACATCAGGGCTTGTCCCTCCACACACTGGGGATTTCACGGGGGTAAAACACACACATACACAGGAGCCAGGCTTTGCTCTGGAGAGTGATAACCAGCTCTTTGCAGAGTCTGGTCCACTAACAAACCCGGGCAGAAATATTGTGTTTGAATTTCCAAAGGTGTCTTTGCCATTTACTTAGCACATGTGACCTGGGTACTTGGAAAGTTTTATGTCCATAGTAAAGAGCCGACACTGAAAATGCCAAGTCTTCGCAGTACAAGATCCTTCTCTCAAAATGAGCTCAGAAACTGCTTGGCAGCTTGGGAGGAGGTTCCCTGAGCCTGTGGTCCAGCCTGGAGAGCATCGCAGCCCCCAGCTACTCCCATCGTTTCCAGCCCTCCTTTGCCTGCGAGCACCACGCAACTGCACGCTCTAATTAACGGGCAGGCAACGTGAAAGCAAAGCGGCCACACCAACACAGGGAGCCATGAAACAGCTAAAATCTCGGTCCACTTGGGATGGTTTGCCTCCCAGTGCAGACCTTGCGCTGCTTATAAGGATGCAGCCACTGATTTGATTCCTGGTCCTACGGCAGAGCAGTGATTTATCTGAAATAGCAACTATTCTTGAGACTTAGTTCTCCTCCATCCCCCTAAAGAAAACAACAACAACAAGAAAACAACAAAAAGCCCACCAAGCAAAAAAAATATACATATACATTTACATCTATTTTTCAGCTTCCAGGTGTATGCATATTTGTAGATATACTACACACACATATAGACAGGCATGCCTGGAAGCTGCAAAATTGCCATGTAAAAATCAATGGTTGGTTTCTAAGTAACCGGACAGTAAAAGCCCTTTGTGCTTCCATTGCACTAATTTCCAAACCTGAGACAATTAACTAGTTCAGTCCCCAGAGCTGAACCGGCAGCAGCCCAGGCAAGCTCCCAAGAATGGCCGCGCTGGGACGGTGATGGGGACAGCAGGATGAGCAATCCCTGACAAGGGCCAAGGTGCCCAGTGGGCACTGGCTGCCCTGGTCACCCATCTCCATTTGGCACTTGCTAACACCAGGTGGGGAGAACACAGGGTTCCCCCACGAGCATCCACAAGCAGTGGTACCCACCATCCCGCTTGCACAGTGGCACCATTCACTGCCATTAAAGTCCCTATTGTTTCAGTCCATTTCTGAGCCCCAACCAGGCAGCCCAGTCCACCACTCAGATACCTGGTGGTGCTGACACTCCTGGGGGCTTATGCCTATGCTATTTAAATCACTCTTTCAGAAGGAAAGAGGAGCTCTTTTCAAATAGGAATTCAGCATTGCTGAGGGCGTTGCAGGAACCTCCAGTCTCTCGGGATTGTTTTGCCTAACCTAGAAGCAGCTGATTTTAAAAAATAAAAATAAAAAAAATCAGCTCTCATACATGGTTTGGTTTGGGGTGGGGTTTTTATTGGTGGTGGTGGTTTGGGTTTTGGGGTTGTTTTAGTTTGGTTTTTCCCTCATTAGCACCGCTATCTTGCTTCTCCTCTAGCTGATATTCAGCTTCTCTTGCACTTCGCAGAACTGGAGCAATTGCACTGCTCCCCACAAATCCCTGCCTGGTCTCACTGCACACAGAGAAGGACCAAGAGTTTTATCTGCTGCTGTACCCAGCAGTCTGGGAAACCTGCAGCTGCACAGCCCGACCCAGGACCCTGTCCCTGCAGCTCCAGCAGCACCTTCCAAACCGCTTCTAGTTGCCAATCTGAAATTGTCTTCATTTTCTTTATCCCTCGCTTGCCCCACAGGCAAGACTCAAAGGTATTTAATACCTCACTCATGAATTATTTTAAAACCAAAGTCTGAAGCCAAGCGCTACCATGCCAGTGTGCTGCCCAAACCTGGGCAGAGAAGAGCTGAAGGCGCTGGAGAAGCCTCCTAAGGAGATGGAATGAGGAAAGGTGCACGGGAGCAGGGGCAGCCTCTGCTGGATATGGTGGGGTTTTTTGCAGAGAGCCCCACTCACTGTGCCCACAGCAGGAGCCATCAAAACTCACAGAAAGTACAGGGGTCACTGCAACATTTAATAAAGGACACTCAATATGGTGAAGAGCATAGGGCACTAATTTATTTTGTGAAGAGATGGAACTCATCACACTGTTTCTGCTCTTTGCAGGTCTAAGGTAGATGTATTAAATACAATTTTAAATGGACTAGATGATCTCTATGATCCCTTCCAACTCTAAAAAATTCAGTGAAATCTTTCCATTTCCCTTCTCCAGGGAGCAGGTACTGCCCTGTTCCAGTGCCAGGTGCCAAACAGGGCAGGGGACAGCAAAAGGCATGGGGACACAAAGCACTCGAGAGCCCAGCCTCGCACGCTGGTTTAACAGAGCTC